CTTCTTTGTCTGGATGATAATTAAGTACGACAAGTAGGTCATTAAATTTGATTTCCTTACAACTTCCCTCGAGAAACATAGGCTCTTCATCGTTCAATGCTGCTTTTTGTAGATGATTCAAAGGCATAAGCTTTGAAATTTTTGATACTGGTGAAAAGGTATTCATTAAAATACAATTTATTATAATAACCAAATAAGATATTGATTTGAAGTTTATATAATGAATTAAATTCTTAATAATTCATATTTATTCGAGTATTTTAACAAATTAATATATTTTTGATGATGTTTATAATATAATTAAGAGTATTTAATACTAATTAATAAATATAAAATGAATTAGTCGAATAAAGAATAAGAATATGAAAAAGTTCTTGAATTACTTGATCATTTTTAAAAAAAATATTAAAATTTAGGTAGGAATGCAATTGAAACTTCAATTGTCAGTTTACTGAAAAATAATGTTAGTGGTTTATTTTTTGTAGGATTCTACGAAGTTATTGATGGTATAATAGAGGATTCTATACTAGATAAATATTTAGAAGTAGGTCCATATTAAAGTACAATATTGGCAACACCAAGAATTGAGAAAGGAAAAGGATAATGTGGGTAATGTTGGTCAGAAGGAAAAGTGTAGATTTAAGAAGATGTGAAAGTTTGTTAGAATTATATAGCTTGTGATAATGAAACATAGAGTGAAATAATAATTCCAGTAATAAAGAATGGAGTTGTATAGAGTATTTTAGATATAGACTCAGAACACTTGTCACGATTTGATGAAGTGGATTCTAAGTATTTATAAAGGATTATTGAGTATTTAATTTGATAAAATATTAATTAATGACACTTTGCTTTGAGTTATTGAATTTGAGACCAAAGTTTATGAGATTTGACATTTGGCCTTTTGTCATTGGTTATATTGCTTTGTATTCTTGGTGGAGTACTTTAGATGAAGAAGCCCCCATGGAAACAAATCCATTAATGGAAAAAATAAATATAGCCACATTCTAAGGAGCAGAAAGTATATTTTTAAGCTATATATAGTTTATAATGATGAAGTATATTATGAATCAATGGAAAATATTTATGCAAGATTAACATTTATTGGTTTAGTGTTTTTTCATTCATTAGTATATATGAGTTCATATTGGTCAGTTTAAATGAAATCAAAAATTAGATATTTTTCTGGAGGGAATAAACTCAGTTTGAATAATATTAGAAATTATAAATATTGCAAAGTCTTATTTATTAAGCAATAGAAATCTTATAGTGATATAGTGACTATTCATTAAGATTAAAAAAATAAATATTGGATCTACTTTATGGAAAATAAGTATTTTTATGATGAGGAAAAAGAATTGTTTATCAGATTAAAACCAAATGTAAAATTTAATCTTGAAAATTTGGAAAGACAAGAAAAAATAGAAGAATATGAAAAAAATTCTTTATTAATCCCAATGAAGAAGTTTAGTGAGGTGTTAAAAGAATAATTAATGGAACCTTTTCATTCTTTCAAATTTTTAGTGTTTCGTTATGGTTATTAGATGAGAGTAGAATCTATGCATTATTTACTTTATCAATGCTTTTTGTTACATCCTGTACTGTAGTAATTCAAAGAATGAAAACAATGTTAACTCTTAGATAGATGAAATTGAATCCATAATTGATCACAGTTTATAGAAAGAATTAATGGACAAAGATTTCTTCAGAATAATTAGTTCCTGGTGACATAGTAATATTATAAACAGCTGAACAAATTAAACCTGTTGTTAAAGATAATAATAAAAATAATGATGATGAACAATTTTTAAGAGAGTAGATTCCATTCTCATAACATTTACCACCTAAATTATTTTAAGTAGAAACTATGAATGTTGATTCCTATAAATCTGTACCATGTGATATTCTATTATTAATGGTTAAGTAGTAGTAAATGAATCCATGTTGACAGGAGAAAGTGTACCATAAGTTAAGGAAGGAATTAATAAACATTAAAATGAACATTTAGATATCAAAAATAAACATAAATCAAATGATATCTTTTGTGGAATCCATCATATATTAATAATGATTAAAATTAATCTCATTGTTTGGGTTTAGTATTGAGAACAGGATTTGATACTGCAAAAGGAAAGTTGATTAAAACTGTATTCTATAATAATGAAAATGCTAATGTTAAATAGACAGATGGTTTGTTCATAGTTATTATCTTATTAATTTTTGCTTTGAGTGCTAGTGCTTATGTTTTGATGAATGGACTTTAAGAGGAATCTAGAAATAAAAACAAATTATTTATTAGATGTATTTTAATTGTAA